GCAGGATGCCAGCGGGTGACTCACCCTTCCTCGGCCCCCCCGAAGCGCCAGATGGAGCCGATTACACCCGGCCGCAAGGTCCCCCCCCCGGCCACAATGTCACGTTGTGGCCCCCCCATCACCATGGCACAACCCCCCCAAAAGTGCCCCATACTTGGGGTGCCCCCAAGTTGCTGGGTGTCCCCAAGATTTGGGGTGGTTCCCCCCACTAAAAGTCCCCAGTTTTGGGTGTCCCCCCCAAATGCCCAAGTTTTGGGGTGTCCCCAAGATTTGGGGTGTTCTTCCCCACTGGAAGTCCCCAGAGTTTGGGGTGTCCCCCCTCAAGTCCTCAAGGTTTAGGGGTGGTCCYTCCAAAGCTCCCCCTTTTTGGGGTGTCTCCAATGTTTGGCTGCCCCCCCCTCAAACCCCTAAGGTTTGGGGGGACTCTCCCATGTCCCCAAAGTTTGGGGGGTCCCTCTTGAACCCCCCAAGTTTTGGGGTGTCTCCAAAGTTTGGGGTGCCCAAGTCCCCAAGGTTCGGGGTGTCCCCCTCCAAGTTCCTCATATTTGGGGGTTCCCCCCCAAAGTCCCCCAGGCTTGAGGTGCCCCMAGTCCCCAAGATCAGGTTCTCCCCAATGTTTAGGGTCCCCCCTGTGAAGTCCCCAAGCTTTGAGGTGCCCCCCCCAAATCCCTAAGGTTTAGGGTGTCCCCTCCCCAACATCCCAAAGTTCAAGGTGCCCCCCAAGACCCCAACCTTTAGGGTGTCCCTTCCACATCCCCAAGGTTTGGGGTCCCTCAGGTTTAGGGTGTCACTCCCTGCTTAAATCCCTAAGGTTTGTGGGGCCCCCCGCCAAGTCCCCAGGATTTGGGGTGTCCCCAAGTTTAAGGTCCCCCCAAGTCCCCAGGATTTGGGGTGTCCCCCCCAGCCCCCACAACCCCCAGGGACACAAAGGGCTGGGGGGAGCAGGGTGCTCCCTCCATCCATGCGGATCCCCGCGGATCCCAAGGGAAAGGGGGAGCCACAGGGATGAGCCCCCTGTCCTCCCAGAGTTGGGGGGGTCACAGCGCCGCCCCCCAACCCTAAATCCCAGCGGGAATTTGCTGGACCCCCCCGCTTGTGCCCAGCCCTGACGGCACCCGGCTCAATCCAGCATTTTTCCAGCAGGAAGAGAGCGGGAGGCAGATCCCGAGCTCCGGCCCCCGGGGGGTTTATTTGCCGTTGGAATGCCGTGGGGGGGCACGCCGCTCCCGCCCCATTCCCGCGTGCGCGAGCGGCTCCCGCCGTCCCCCTTCCYGCTGCGAGTCCGTGCGGCGCCGGGCGCCTTCCTCCTCCTCCTCACTTGAAGATCTTGCCCTGGTTGAAGGGTTTTCCCACGTGCTGGAATTCTCCTTCCCACATGAAATATTCCTTGACCAGCGTYTTGCACTCGTCGCTGTCGCTGTCCAGCTTGCGCCAGGTGTAGGACTCGTAATCCACCTGCCAGTCGGGGCTCAGCTGGGGAAAAAGCAGTGGGAAAAGGTCGGCATTCCGGAGAAAAAGCATTCCCGGCATGCGCTGCCCTCCCTTTGGATGCGCTGCTCCTGCAGACGCCGAATCCGCAGCACAAAAACGGGATTTTCCCGATGTAGCAGGATGGGAGCCCCAGGGTGGCGCAGGGATCCCAAGCAGCCGCTCCTGGAGCGGCTTCTCTGGGATTCTCCCGACGCCACTCTCCTGAGGACGGGAATGCTCACCGGGAAGGCCAGCTCCTGCCCGCGGAACACCCACACTCCGGAGATGCTGCTGTCGTTGTTGGTTCCGAAGAGGATGACGCTGGCGAAGGCGTTTTTACGGAGCTTGTCCAAACGCTGGAACATCCCTGGGAAAGGACCGAGCGGCGGGAATCGAGCCGGGAACGCCGGGAAAAGCGGGGGGCTCGGGAAGGGAACGCAGGCCCTCACCCGTGATGAGGTTGCAGCTCATGAAGGTCTGGCTGAGCTCCTCCGGGAAGCGGTATTCCGCGTACCAGATGGACCAGCCCTCCCGGTCGAAGTGCTCCCAGAAGTGCGGCAGCGCCACGGAGAGCGTGTCCTCGTTGGAATACTTGCGCTTGAACTCGTCCAGGACGAAGGGGCTGCGTGGGGGGAAGCGGCACGGCGGGATTCCCTTCGGGAACGGCAGCTGTGCCCTTTTCCGCGCGGGAACGCGCGGCCCCGAGAGGCCGAGGGCGGCGAAAAAAACGCAGGAAAAAAACACGGGAAGGCGGCCGGGAAGCTCCCGCTTCCCGTGCCGGCAAGATGCTCACCTCTTGGGAAGGTGGGCGAAAGGATCCTTGGATTTGGGCTCGGCGGCCAGGGCCTGCTCGCACTCGTCCAGCTCTTCCTCCGGCGCCRGCTTCTTCTCTTCCTTCTTTTCCTGCTTTTTCTCCTCCTTGGGAGCTTTCTCCTTCTTGGGGGTGTCTTTTTTGGGCTGGTTCTCCGCGAATTTCTTGGCTGTGGGTGGAATAAGGACGGTCAATGGTCCTTGTTTCTAATGCTAAGGGAAAAGGGATAGATCCCGACGGGAAAAAGAGGGGTTCTGAAAGGAAGGAGGTGGATTCCCAAAGGAAAAAGAACCGGGTCTTCCCTTGGGAGCATCCTGCTTCCACAGCAGGAATCTCTGGGAACAAGAGAGGACCAAACTCCCGCCTGGTCCCCCGGAAAACATCCCAGAGAAGAACGGAGCAAYGGGGAAGGGGCCGAGCCCTTCGGCGCATCCCGGACAGGCTGGGAATGCCGGGAATGCCGCTCACCGTCGAACTGCGCCATCTTCTCGCAGAGCTTCACGTCGCCCAGCACCGCCTTGAACTGCGGCTGGTTGAGGCAGGTGACGAACCAGCGGTTGACGTTGACGAAGGGCTGCCGGAACGCCGGCTCCAGCACCTGGGAAAGGGCGTCAGGAATGGCGGGGCGCCGGGAACGCCGAGGCGCGCCGCCCGGCGGGCCCTTCCCRCGCGCTCCCACCTGCTTGTAGAGCCAGAGGAGCGTGCAGACCACGGTGATGTCGGCGAGCGAGACGCGCTCTCCCACCAGGAACGTCTGCGTCTTCAGGTGGGAATCCAGGACGCCCAGGACCCGCTTCACTTCCTCCTTGGCAAATTCCGTGGCCTGGGAAGGGGAAGGCGCCGCGGGACGGTCGGGATGCGGCCGCCTCCGGAACGCCTCCCTCGCCCTGCCCCGTTAGCCGCGACGGGAGCTCTCCGAATCCAGGGATCCTGCTGCGGATCCCAGGCGGCTGCTCCCTTGGGAAGCGACCTCCTCCATAGCCGGGATCAAAACTGGCTTTCCCGGGGCAAGCCCTTGGGAAGAGCGCCCCTATCCCAAGGGGCTGAGCGCTCCGTGGATTCTTGGGAGCAACCCCYGAGTGCCACGAGAGGAAAAATATAGGTTTTTCCCACCTCAAACCCAGATTCCCACCTTCGCTCCAGCCCTATCTCCCCGCAGAGGCAGCCTTTGGGAGCAGAGATAATTCCCGAGGGATCGGCCGGGAGCCCCCCCCGGGCCGCAGGGCGCCCGCTCACCTGCTTGTTGTAGTGCATGATTCCCAACGTCGGGAATACCCAGGTGCTGGCGGGGGGCACGATGTCGCTGTCGGCAAAGCTGACCCACTGCACGATCTCGGCGGCYGCCTCCGTGGTGGCGCCTCGGAGCTCCTCGTTACTCACTGGGAAACGGGGACAAAACGCCCCAATTTGGAGCCTGTCGGCTCGCAACAAGAGCAAAAACCCCCTTTTTCCAAAAAAAAAAAAGCAGGAAAAAAATCCATGCRCCCCTCCAAGACGAGCCGGGCGGCTTCCAAGCACCTCCTTGCTGATCTTGCCAAAAAGCCGCTTCCCGATCCGAAGAGGGGGAAAAGCGGGAGAGAAAGGAGCTTGGGAAGCAGCAGGAGGAGCCAAGGGGGGGTGACACCGGCACGGGGGGGTCTGCAGGGCCCAAAACACCCGGGGGGGGACCCGGGGGGACAGGCGCTCACCATAGTAGGCGATGGCGTTGCTCTCAAAGACGCAGAAACCGTCGTCRCCCTCGAACGCCGGCACCTGCGGGGCGCAAAACAGGGCCCGAAAGTGCCCGAACGGCCCCCATTTTGCGTCCGCGACCCGCCCCCGGCGGGAACTCACCTTTCCCAAGGGGAATTTCTTGAGGAACTCGGGCGTCTTGTTGGTCTGCCCGAAGTGGAAGTGCGGCGGGCTGGAGAGCACGCGGATCTTGGCACCGCTGTACTGGGCGGCGATGAGGGCCTTGAAGGCGCGCCAGTTCTCCGGGTAGGTGTACAGGGTCTGTGGGGGGGGGGGACAACAGGCGGCGGGGGGGGACAACAGGCGGCGGGCGGTGGTGACAGCCGCCGTGACGGGGACAACCCCCCGCGGGGTAACGGGACGCCCGCGGGGTGTTCCTATGGGGATCCGCCTGCCCGTGCCGGGCTCCGAGGTCTGGCTCCCTGCCCCCTAAAGAGCCAGTTTTGCCCCCCAAAATCGTTCCCTTCAATAAGACCCAGTTTCACCCCAAAATCCAGTCCCCCTCCACGGAAAACCCAGTTACTTCTCCCCAAAATCTGGTCCTCCTCCCCCCCAAAAAACGCAGTTTCATCCGAAGACCCAGTTCCCCGTCACCAAACACCAGGGTTCACCCCAAAAACCCTG